GAAGTTAATAAAAATGGACGAGCCGATAAAGAAACTCAATAAATGTAATAATAATGTTAAATTGGTCTTACAGTTGTTAAAGACCATGGATGAAAAGATTAATGAGAAAAAGGGTTTAAGGAAAATGGAGAAGCATCTGAAAAGAAAGGCGTAGGCAGACCAGTAGCGGACTTCGAAACTACAAGAAAGCAACATTTGGAAATGTTGAATGCAAAAAGAAAAAACAACCTAAAGAGACCACCATACAATATTATAAGATTGATTATGATGAGGACACTGAGAAGTACTCTTGGAGTATTTTGAAGATTTCCGAGAAATATTCGTAGAATATTTCGAAGTGCCCGAAGGGACACTGAAAAATACTCATAACAATATATTTTCTTCATCAACAAGAAATGATTATGAAACTACTTGAACTATTTAGTGGGACTGGTAGTGTTGGAAGAGTTGCTAAAGATTTAGGTTATACAGTAGTATCGCTTGATCTTAAAGATGCTAGTATCAATGAGTTCTTTTGAAATGGGATTATAAGAAACTTGAAAAGACTTTGACGTTGTCTGGGCGTCTCCAACTTGTATTGAATACAGTAGAGAAAAAACTACAGGTGTTAGAAAGATTGATGAAGCAAATGAAATAGTCAAGAAAACTATTGAAATAATAAAGTATTTTGATCAAAAGGCGTTTTCATTGAAAACCCACAGACTGGACTTTTGAAACAGCAAGAGTTTATGAAAGGCTTTGATTTTTTTGATGTAAATATGGAATGCCATATAGAAAGCGCATCAGACTTTGGACAAATATAAAAACTTGGACACCTAGACCGTTACGTAAAAAGGACTGCGGCCAAATAGAAGGAAACAGGCATGGGGAAACAGCACAGAGGGCACCTAGTAACAGGAAGGAAACATGGCCAGAAAACTATACATTATTTAAGCAAAGGGACTTGTATAGAATACCTGAAAGTTTGATTAAAGAGATATTTGGTGCTATAAACGAGTTATTTACTATACTATGTTTTTCTATAAGCGGGCTTGATGCTAGGTTGGTTCCTATGAAAAAACTACGGTGGATGATGTGAAGTGAATGAGTGGGGGAGTTGGTGAAAATGGTTCCTATGATAATGAATATGAATTCGAATTTGGATGGATATGAAATGGAAAATATGATTTGGTGAGATGATAATGAATGGGTGTAGCAAGATTGGGATCAGGATTTGAATGATGATGTGGGGAATGGGTTGATGAACATTATGTTTTGATGGTGGGTGACTGGTGACAATGATAGGGTGGGTGGGGGGCAATGATGAAAAATGAGGTGAGGTGAAAATGATAGAGCGAACCTCCCCCAAGGTCTTGCGCTACTTCTTCTGTCAGGACCTTTTCATTACAAGCACCGAATTTACTAATAGCCATAGGTCTACCCGGAAAAGGATACTACGCCTGCACAGAACTGAGATGCTGGCACTGTAGGCGACGAGGATGGTGTTGCATAGGTTGGTTGCCCAGCAGTGTGCACAAGGTCACACAAACCCCAATCCATGGAACACAGCCCGACACCACACATGGCATATCATAACGCAAAAAACTATAACGAACGCTGATGCGCCAGCTGTGTTTGCTGAGTTAAAGACAACACGCCAGCCGTATTTGCTAAATTACTGGCAAAAGCAGTAGTGTCACAGCACAGTTCCAAGCAGAAAATGCAAAACCCTATATGCATAGCAAACCCCCAGACAAGAGGAGCAGAGAATGAAGGTCAATGGAGGACTTTTCTGCAGATCGCAATTGCAAAGCGCCATGTTGATCTGGTCAAGGCCAGTGCTGTTCACCTCTTGTGATCCCCCTGACGAAGCTGCTGACGCTCCAGTTCAAGTTGAACTCTGCACCTCGCGGTCCCGCCGCTGACCAATGTGACGAAATCTACACGGCAGGCAGCCGCGGGCCAGCGGCGACCACGCGCGCCGCAGCTGGTCCCTCTACACTCCAGGTGCAAAGAGCGCTGTGCCTGCCACGAAATCTCCCTTCCAGGTTTACCAAGCGCTGTGCCTGCCACACAAACGACAGCCGCGGCCCAGCCGCGGCCCAGCGGCGACCACGCGCGCCGCAGCTGTTCCGGGAGGCTCCGTGCACTGTGCCTGCCACGAAATCTACACTCCAGTTGCGCAGAGTGCTGTGCCTGCCACACAAACGACAGCCGCGGCCCAGCGGCGACCACGGGCGCCGCAGCTGTTCCGGGAGGCTGCGTGTACTGTGCCTGCCACGAAATCTACACTCCAGGTGCACTGACTGCTGCGCCTGCCACACAAACGGCAGCCGCGGCCCAGCGGCGACCACGCACGCCGCGGCTGCTCTAGGAGGCTCTGTAAGATAGGTGGTTCAAGATAAGTGGTGTAAGATGGTGGTCTAAGATGAGTGGTGTCAGAGAGGTGGTGTGAGATGGGTGTTGTCAGAGAGGTGGTGTGAGATGGGTGGTGTAAGTGGGTGGTGTAAGATGGGTGGTGTAAGATGGTGGTGTATGATAGGTGGTGTAAGATGAGTGTGTAAGATGGTGGTGTGAGATGAGTAGTGTGATAATGGTGGTGTAAGATGGGTGGTGTAAGATATGTAGTGTAAGGTAAGTGGTGTAAGATGAGTGGTGTAAGATGAGTGGTGTAAGATGGTGGTGTAAGATAAGTGGTGTAAGATGAGTGGTGTAAGATGGTGGTGTGAGATGAGTAGTGTGATGTGGTGGTGTAAGATGGGTGGTGTAAGATAGGTAGTGTAAGATGAGTGGTGTAAGATGGGAGGCGGCGGAGGCGGCGGAGGCGGAGGCGGCGGCGGCCGCACGGAGTGGCGGGCGCAGAGCGAAAAACAAGAACCCCACATAGTGATGTGGGGAAAAAGAATCAGGACCTGTGTACTGGTCATTGCTTGGTGATTTGTTTGCTCCCTCTCGAGTTTGTCCAAGTCCTTACTGGTTTGAATGATGTCTTTGGTGCCCTTTCCATGGGTTTTTCCCCACCTGCCAGGTGAGGGTTGTTAGATTTTATCACAGTTGTTCTTCCTCTTCCTTCCTTCCTTCCTTCCTTCCTTCCTTCCTTCCTTCCTTCCTTCCTTCCTCCTTGCTTCCTTCCTCGCCAACCTCCTCGCCAATCTTCATCACCAATCTTCATCGCCAATCTTCATCGCCAATCTTCTTCGCCAATCTGCTTCGCCAATCTGCTTCGCCGATCTTGTCTGGCAAGCTCCGGGTCGCAGTGTGCGCCCCTGGACCTCAACCGCAAGGATCCGATCGCAGTGTGCACCCCTGG